TAAAAATACTTGAAATTTTTGAGATTAACGATGGAATGTCATGAAGTTACACTTCTGATCTGGTTTCGGGCACCTTCTTAACTAGAACAAAACGCTTTTAAAAAATTCTTATGTTGCATATTTCGGTATATTTCCTCCCCCAAGGGATATGTCAGTACTACCAATTTACCATCGAAGCGAAAGAATGAATTGTACATTATTTGAAATACACTTAGAAAATTATTTGAAAAAATACACTTAGAAAATTGCTAAATCAGTAAAATTCAAGGCAGAGAAAAACATACCGCGCGTACGATAAGATAAATGCATTTGCTGCTGCTGTTGTTGCTGCTGTTGCTGCTGCTGCTGCTGTTGTGGAGGTGGTCGATTAGCACGGCCATAATCCGAGTTATAACTATGATAAGGGATCAGAGGCGGTGGGCCACCTCGCCGAGGATGTGGCAGTGTGCTGTAGCCTCCTTCGTGCTGGTAGCTTTCATTGTTCCTGTAATTTCCATAGCCATAATTTGATCCTTGATAGCCGTTATAAGATCCTCGAGACTGATACTGACGAGAAAGCGATATCCTTAACAAACGGCCATCCAGTTCCTGAAATTATAGGACTCATTCCTGAAGCAAAAATGGGTTTTTCTAGACAGTTCTTACGTCGGGCGACCTGAGTTTTCCCAAATTTTTTCGAAAATCCATTTCCCCTTGAAATCAATCGTTTTTTAAAGTAAGGCGAAACGAAGAAACAAGGACTTACTGTACCGTCCAAACTCAATGCATTCGCCAGTGCTTCTTGACATGAAAACGAAACAATGGCTGTGCCACGTTTCGCACCTTGGCCTTCAGGATAAATATTTACAACCTGAAAGTCAAAAGCATTTATATTTATATATATATATTAAAGGACACAGTCAAAACTCCTTCCGTATTTCCTCAGTGAAAGGTAAAGGACGCCCGGAAGTAGTCCAACTGATACTATGTACCAGCAGCAACCAACCGCTGACAAGGTTTTCGATGGCTCCCTCTTTCGAGGACTGCTTACAGGCAAGCTGGTGGCAGTCTGTCTCCCAGGCATATTATTCTAGTACCAATTTACCACCGAAACAAATCTGAACTAATTAAGAACCACTGGTTGTCCCAGCAGTGACAGAGCCGAACTACCGATCTGCAGAAAAAAACACTATTTTTCACTGCGTCATGTCCGCCAACTAAAAAGTGGAAAAAAATTACAGTAGCACTATCATATAAGTTGAAAAAGCTGTACACATATATAGCTGCATTTCGGCAAACATCTTCAGCTCTGCGGAATTTTAATCCTAGCGTAGATGAGGGCAAAAAAGATGCATTGGACACACAAATACAGACAGGCAACACCGTAACAATAAGCGTTTTGTGCAGCTATTGCACGGTACAAAAAGCATTAAAATGCGCTGTCTGTGACTAAGACTAAGACCAGTAGCTTATGGTTTACTTACTGGCCACTCTCCAATCACAGCAGGTTCTACTACTATCGATTTCTTAACAGTAGCCAATCACTGTCAAATACTGACCGGTGACAGGCACTGAAGAAATCTAGCGAACCACCGATAATCTACCATTGCTGTAACACAAATTTTGCAAATGCTGAGCAAATTTGCTGACCAATGCAATGGATAGTTATTACTATGCCTGGATGGACTCGAACACACCTCACCCATGTACTAGGGTAAGTGCCATACCGATGCACTACCAGTACGCGAAAATGAAGGAACAGACTTTTAGTGACCAATGCCAATAACTCACAACCCTTCTTAGCATTTCATTGCCACTAAAAGATGAGAACACCTGAAAGTACCTCCAAATGTTAGCACCAGCCTAGAGAAACCATCCGTTGGCATAGTACCGATGGATTCCCCTCCCTAACTGCACCTTATACTGTCTTTGTTTACAGCTAAGGGATGAAACACGGGCAGACCTTTTCCTAAATATTCCTTTTCACATTTCATACGGTTTTATGCGATATGAATCGCCCTACTATCTTTTCCATTACATCATAGCTTCACCTTATTATTAAACTAACCTTACCCTAGGTTTAAATTTTCGGATCCTCTCTGTTACACATTTCGTTTGGTTTGGCCCGTCCACATGG